CTTTCTTCTGATTGTCAAGCTCGCCTTTTGCTCCCAATTTTTTTTTTTTTTTTTTTTTTTTTTTTTTTTTTTTTTTTTTTTTTTTTTTTTCACATTGTGTAATTTATTCGCTTTCGCTTACCACGGGCATTGTATTTGGATTGTCTTTGATTTGGATTACTCTTGCATCGCCCCTGCACCCCCTTTTAGGGCCCCCACTTTTCTTCGATTCATCAATATTGTGTTTTAATCGACAAGCACTGTTCTCTGGTTTGGAAGCCCCTAATCAGCAATGCAAGTAGCGTGAATATATAAAACGTTTTGCGTAGCAATCGCACACAGTCTCGTATGCGCATTGTCGAACACATTTGAGCAACGCAAAAATCACAGCAAAGTATAAAAAGTGTAAATTTTTTTTTTTTTTTTCATATCTTTTGATCGTTCGATTCGTGTGGATGTGCGCTCGAGAGAGCATACAGGCGTGCTATACATGCGTACATGCACATAAGCATGCGTACATAAGTGTGCAAGTTTTATTCTATTGATTATTATTATTTTCGCACACTGTTTTATTTCTTTGAGAAGGGGATAAAGCATCCCCATCCTGGAAGCTACACGTATTCGTGCATTTTCCGTATCTTCGAATTCGTTTGTTCTAAACCCCCCTGCTCGCTCCCTAGCATGTACAAAGCTGTGTCTTTTTTTGTGTGTACGTAGATTTATCATTTTTTCATCTGCGCGAAGATGAAATTACGTAGTTGCACTTTTTTTTATTGAATAGGTCTGGGCGTATGCATTGCTATTTCGTTGCGTCTACTGCCAGATCGGGGTTCGTTTTGTGAAAGCGAATTTGGGACATAGCCTCACATCATGTGCTCCGCTTCGAATTTGTCATCGCAAATTTGACGCCTTAAAATTACCACCTCACGTTTTCCGCTGCACAACTTTCGACTCGTGGATCACCCGAGTGCGACGATGAAGACCCATTACTTGCACACCCTGGACGAGTACTTTGCGAACGTGAAGAACAATGGCAACCTAGAATGGATCCTAGTTAACCGCAAGTTGTCCCGTTGGGACATCTTCGTACTTGTTTTCTTTTTTGCGTTCGTAACCGTATTGAGATTTTTGGCCGTGGGGATACAAACCAAGTTGATTGGAGAGAATAATATACTGTATAGCTTATCGAGGAAATCGCTGCTAGATCGAATAAACAAAAAATGGGATATAGCAAAAGATGGATGTATATACAAATGGAAGGAAAACTGCTGGTTTGCATTTTGGCATAGCTTTTCCTTTTTGTATAATTTTGCGTTGCTATTTTATATGTCGGGTTATATGCAGAACAAAAATGGGTGGGTTAAAAAATGCCTTGAAGAACCAACGGGGAAATGGTTTATTTTAGTGACCGAAGATGAGTACATGGAAAATAAAAGAGGATGGCCATATATGTATATAGATAATTCAGTTCATTATTTCTACCTACTAGAGCTAGCTTTTTGGTCGTCTTGCCTTTTTTACTTAAAATATGAAATAAGAAGAAAAGATTTTTATGTGTTCCTTGTACATCATGCGTCCACAATTCTGTTGATAGCTTATTCATATGTTTTAAACTTTTGGAGGATGGGCCTATTAGTGCTTTTTGTTCACGATATAGTTGATGTGGCATTGTATATTTCGAAAAGTTTGAATTATTCCCATCGCAGATATCAGAAAGCATTGACAATATTTTACATTTTTTTTGTTCTTTCATTCTTTTTTTTCCGTATTATTATATTCCTCTTTTATATCGTTATTCCGTTGAGCAATTTGGAGCTCATAAAATCCTACACCGACGGGTTTATAACATCTTATATGGACGTGCCCGCCGGTATAGTTCCCGTTGTGCTTTTGTGGATGCTCATGGTAAAACGAGACAAAAGTGAATTTTTTTTTGTCGCGCCAGGTCTGAACTGGACGCGGTGACTCCCCTCGCCCCCCACCTGCGTTTGTTTCGGGTAGTACCGTATGCGCAGCGGCATAGTAGATCACGACATTGTCTCATTTATATGCACACACCTGCCCCCACCGCAGTTTATGCACTTTTACTGGTTTTTCCTAATCCTGAAGATGACTCGAGTATTTATCGTCAAAACAAGTAATGACCTGAAGAAGTGGAGCATATATGCGCACGTACATATGTTTGACCGATACAAATGAGTCTTATGTGGATCACGTTGCCGCGTATGAACAAACATGTGAACCGAGCAAACATCGCCTCCTTTTCCCCTTACTGCAGTGAAAAATGAAGATTTCGCAGACATCAGGAGTGAAGACGAAGACGATAACACAATTCCTACGGATGTCACCGAAAAGGAAAAGTAATTTTTTCACTTGTTTAATCGCATGAGACCGTGTTTATGTTTTAATATTCTTATGTGATATCATCGTTACCGTTCTGTTTTATTAGCTCTGGTGCTATTAATGTGATTTTATTGTTATTTTTCTTCTCACCATTGCTGTTGTTTTTTCATTACTCATGTTTTTATTCTTCTTTTTTTTTTTTTTTTTTTTTTTCCAGATATGCTTCATAAATTCGCTTACAATTGCGCCATGGGATTCCTTAATTGATTCCTCCATGTCCCCACGCTTAGTTGTTTCTTTCATCTTTTTTTTCATTTTAAAGTAATTAGACATTCTTGTAAAGTTCTTAACCCCTTGCAGGCGTACGCACACGCATATGTACGTACCTGCATGTTTTTATGTACACATACGCACACGTATTCCTATGTATAAACACATTTTTGCTACGCAACCTAGATAACTAAACAGGGAAATGGATCATTTGCACACATGTAACAATTGTCAATAATGTGTACCTCGCAAAATTAAACTTACAAAACTTTTCAGTTTTATTTTAATAACCTACTTGTGTGAAAGCAGGAAAAGTGCTTAACAAGAATGTTTACAAATAGGACGTAAAAAAAAAAAAAAATAAATAAAATAAAAAAAACTCCACTTAAAAAGGCAATTGTGTTTAATAAACAGAACATAATTTAATGTACTCAATTTGTACGTCTCTTCCTTTCCTCTTTTTTTTTTTTTTCCATACAGTTTGGTAGACAGTTCATATATGTGATGCAAACAAACACAACATCATTTTTCATTGTCAATTTATACACTTATATTTGTATTTTCAAATTGACAAATCATTTATGATCGTATTTGTTTGGAATTACTTTCTTGTGGAAAAAGGGAAGGGAAGAGAAGTTACCCTCATGTGCTTCCCAAACACGTGCCCAAATTTTTCAGTTCCATTATTCTGCTTTTTTGTAAATTCCCCATTTTTTTCTTCTTGTTGAAAAAATCATCATCTCCGTCGTTGTTGCGTCCGCCCAGGGTCTGCGAAAGGATTGCGCGAAGGTTACGTGTACGGTTGAGAGTGCACGCATCTGTGTATGCGCATATGGTTGTTATGGAAATATACATGTGAAGGGACCCTCTACAACGACAGATTCGTCGTTGCATGAAGGAGCGGATGTTAAAAGAGTTTACATTTGAGCCATTGGACAAGCCAAATAAAGTTTTAAAAAAAATAGCTAGCTGAAAAAAAAAAAAAAAAAAAAAAATATGAACATCATTTCCTTAAGGCTGCACACAAGCTCTCGTTCCGCAAGGGGTAAAAGCAGACAGTAGTGTTGCCACTGGAGCGGTGTGTATCTTTGCATATATATGAATGCGCGGGTACACTCGCAGCAAAACGTTTATGTGCCTGTTGTGTGCGCCACATTTTTCACATTACTATGTTAAAAAGGGTTTTCAGGAAGTTTATCACGCTATTAATTAGGTTGACTATGGGCGATATAAACCTGTTATGCAGGGCACTCTTTTTCCTCAGCTTCTCATACTTCAGTTTGCGATCTCTTAAAATGTTTTCATACTCCCCGCCATTTTCTTGGTTTTCTCTTTTACGATTCATCTTTCATTATGATCGAATGTTACGAGTGGGGGTGGGGGAAAATGGTAGACATTATTTGGTACTGTAACTACGTGGCGGCATATACTTGGCGCTGCATTGCAGTGGTGGAATTTTGTACACAGCAGCAATCGTGATGGAAAACACACACAGAGGATTTTAAAAATTCCCGTCGATTATTTTGGGGGAATAGAAGGTGGATAAGGGGAAAAAATGCAACAATGTATGAAGTGTATGTGTAAAATTAACATACAAAATAGCAATATAAATAAAAAAAAAAAAAAAAAAAAAAAAGAAAACTACCAGCGCTTTGTGTGCAGTACGAAAAAATTATGCCAATTTTTTTATGGACACAATTTATCCTGAATGTTCGCAATATTTTAGGCACGCATTGTAAGTTAAATGTATCCATTTTTTTTTTTTTTTTTTTTACTACACATGTTGAAAGGCTTTCTTGCGCTGTGAGATTTGTAAAGGCAATTTTGTGCCTCAGTAAGATGAGTTTTTCCTGCGCGCTCGTATTAGGCCTCGTTCGTTATCCCCTTTTTAACGTTTAAAAGATGGAAAAGAATCACAACATTGTAAAAAAATAAAAAATAAAGGATAAGATGAAAACAAGACCGAATAGTGTAGTGTAGTGTAAAGCGTCACATATATTTGTGACCTTAGAAAGTCTCTGGTAGTTAAAATGCCGATTCCGTAGTAACTCCCTGGGCGTCTATTTATGTGGCGCCGGAGTACAACCGCCATTTGGTTTTGTTCTACTTTGTTACACTTTCTTTTTTTTTTTTTTTTTTTTTATTATTAATTCACGATGTGCTGCCATGGGGCTAGCTAAAATATGGCAACAGCTTTAACATGAGCAGAGAGCTAAAGTCGTACATGCTGAAAGTAATGAAGGAATATCAGCACTATTTTGAAAAGATATCAACGAAAAATTGCAACTTGGAGGATAACATCAATTTGATTAAAGATTTAAAAATCGACGAGGAGTAAGCAACATAGCTTCGTTTTTCTGTCTTTGTGCAATTTGTAGAAGGGGGAAGAAAAATGGTTTGGCCCTGTCCGACCCCCTGTGATTTACGGCTGTTATTTGCATGAGAAAGAGTCTTTCTCTCTCCCTTGCAAGTCAACGTGGATTACTGCTGCATATCTACGTCACAATTCCCCCTCTAAATTAGCAACGGCTACAATGAAGATATTTTTTTGAAAATACAAAAGCAGTTCCACATGCACGACTTTTTCAACCTATCCTTGTTATTCCCGGTGAAATTTTTTAATAAAAATGGAAAGACGTTAGTGCAGGTAATGGACAACATGCCACCTCAAAAAAAGGGAGGCGTAGGGCAGTTGACATTGCATGGTGCTCGTGTGTGAGGCTCACTTGATTTGCGTTGAGATATTTAGTTATTACAGCCTATTTGAGGAGTTACGTTGACTAGTGTGCGGATCATATGGGTAAAAAACTGCAAACCCACCTTTATGTCATTTTCCCCCTTCCTCATTTTCGCCTAGTTAATATCAGAAGATACCACTCAAAACGACTTGGAGTTGATACAGGCCGTTCTTAAGAATATAGAGCATAACGAACTGAACAAATTAAATTTTTTCAACATAGAAAATATCATTTTTGAGCTATTAGGTCTTAATGAATGAGGCAAAAAATAGGAAAAATATAAGCAGCTAAAATGATAAAAAAAAAAAAAGAGAAAAAAATTATCCCCCTGTTGCATGCTTTTTCCATTTTTTTTAATAGACGAAATAATAAGGCAAATAACTGTAGAGTGTCCGAAGCGCGGTTTCGCCTTGTTAATGTGAAGCAAAAAAAAGAAAAACACACACAGTTATGTGCATGTGTGTGTATTATATGCCCCTATAGAAGTGTGGCTTCAGACAAAATTGCGTACGCTAACGTTTACGTGTCGATATGTGCATATAAATGGAGGCGTCGTCCCGTCGCTGCTCTTTCTTCCCCCCTCATAGGATCAATAACGAAATACAGAAAAATATTAACTACTACAAAAATTTGATTGACATAATAGAGCACAATAACGACATGAACAACCAGAATTTTAAAGAAAAGTTGCAGCAGTATAAGTTATTTGTAAGCCATTGCTTCGGTACTTCTTATGTGCATGCGTGCACTACCATGTTGTGTTGTTAATATGGGTTGACGCAACACCTGTACCAACTTGGCGATTCCATTTTTAGCTTGACAAACTGGCAGCGGAAGAGATCGAATTGAAGGAAAAGCTCCTTGACTCTCAGAACGAACTGCAACTTTTGAAGAAGTACGGAATGGAAAATAAGAGTCCCGTCCAGCGAAATGTTCGAATGTGTGCACACGCAAATATGCAAAGGGCAGTACACTCGTGCCAAGAGAGCAACGCAGCTTTTTTTGAATCAGTTATATTGTGCGAACATGTCCACATTAATGGGTCTGCTTTGTGCACCCTCTTGAAACCCTTTCAATGCAGCGAAAATTTAAAGAAAATGCAAGAAAATAAAAATAAAAAGGAGATACAGGTTTGACGAAGTCTTGGGAAAGACTTTTTTTTTTTTTTTGGTGAACAAAGCTGGATATTTGTCATTCAGTCCTTTTTTTTTTTTTTTTTTTTCAGTACGACTTATTAAAGCACAATGAATCGTTACTCGAGAGAATTAAAGAAATTTATGACAAGCAAGGTGAAATTTAAGGACGCGAAAAGGAGGACATTCACAAGATAAACGCGCGAAAATATTTGTCGCCTCGGTGGTTAGTTTTCCGCTTCCTTTCCGTTGTGTTTTCCATGTGTTTGCCGTTTTGTTTCCACGTTGCTTCCCCCTTTGCTCATTTTGCGTCGTGCCTCCATGTAGAACATACTTCTTGACCAGTAGACAAGCGAACTGCCAATTTTTTACAAATTCGAGAGGGCCTCCTTCATTCTGTTAATTTTACTCGTATTTTCTTTTACTAGTTTTTCTTCTGAAAAAATATTCTGAATGATGGTTGCTCTTTCCTTGAGCAAGTGATAGTACTCTTCAATAAAAATTAAAAACGTCTGCATTGTGGAGGTGAAAAAAAGAGGTGGCGTTTATGTTGGGAAGGACAGAAGAAGCAGATATGCTGGTGTAACTACATGTAGGGTCACATTTAAGTGTGCCCCTTACACACATGCAAAAAAGAAAGAGAAAAAAAATTTAACCTTCCACAGTTCTATCGTTTCATGCGGAGTAATACGAGCGAGGTTATCCCAGTATTCCTTTTCCTGTTTCTTTCGTTCAATTATTAGCTTTAGGGAGATGTTTAGTCTCTGAAAAGTTGAAAAGGGCACGAAAAGGAAAAATATTTCAGCAGAGAAGTCACGTGTGGAAGGCATGCCTCTTCTGATTCTCCTTTCATGGAATTATTTAAATGTGTGTTCTTTCAAGTGTCATGTTTTTTTTTGCTTTTCCAGCGTTTGGTGGATAGCGTGGAGTACGTACATTTTTGTACTTTTGCTTATTTTGTGCAATTCTGCACACATTTTCTTTTTCCTTCTCTTGGTAGTATTTGAAGATTATGTCTAATGTGTATTCCGAGGTGTGCGCCAGGTCCCCCTCGTCGTTCTCCTGCTGGTCGTCTGTCGTGCGGGCGAAGTGGGTCAAGGAGGTAAAGCAGGAATATTGGCAAAAGGGACGCAATTTCCGATTTACTTTTTTTTTTTTTATCTTCGTGCTGCTGCGTTGTTCTTACCAACGTAGAACAACTGAGTTAGGAGTTCCAAATCGTCTTGTGTGTGAACGCCGATGTAGTTGAAAATTCTTTTCAGCTTTTCCTGTTCGTCCTCTGCATCCTGAGGGGAAGTAAGGAGGGATGTACATATCGTTCGCTTTTCATGTTGCTTCTTACGTATCAGTTCGCCTCGTATTGTTTCCTTTATTTTTATTTGTGTCCATTTTGTACGTGCTTACCCCATCAACTAGAAAGTTACATTCCTGGAGGAGTAGCTTTTTCACTTGTTCGATTTGATTATGTGTGACTTGCTTGACGTTTTCGGCATCGGTCGGCTCTGAGTCCTCTGAATGGAGTGGGAAGGGAAAATATGGGTGTATGCACACATACATATAGGGGTATGTAAGGAATGCAGCTTTGGTGTATCTTCTTCTCAATGTGCACTACAACACGGCATGAAATGGAGGGGAACACAAACGGTAACGATATGAAAACTTCGTAAATGAGGGGGAAGTGAATACCTTTAAGGGGTGGTGAGCCTATGTTATAATTTTCCTCAACCAGGTGTTTATAATTGGTTTTGCTGAATTCTTTCATGAAGATTTGCTCATGAATGATTTGATTTGCACTTATTAATTTTGCGATGTGTCTGTTGGCCTGAAATGTGGGAGAGCGTTGTGTCAGGTGACAAAAGTGAAAAGGTAGTTTAGACTCGTAGAGTGGGTAGCAGGATGGGCGAATCCACTCTGGGGCATCGAAACATTTTTCGCCGTTCTGCTTTTATGCCTTAGTTGCGCATAATATTGGGGGTCAATCGAATTACCTCGGTCTTTTGCAAATCCCATGCTTTGGCATACTTTTTCTGAAAATTTTGTTCATAACTTTTCTGTCTCTTTTGTAGCTGGATAAATTGAAACTTGATTCGCTCGTACTGATTTATTAGCTCACTGATGTTTTTTCTAAATATCGGACGAGGGGAGAGTACACCCGGCATAATTTATGAATACCCCAGAGGAAATATATTTCACATTATGGTGCATTTATGTACGTTTCTACAACTTTATTCCGTGAGGAAAATGCCTGCATTTCAGGGGGGATATTTCACCCGTGTGTCTGTGTGGCTCCCTGCATGGACCCGCACTGATGAGCCTTACTTGGACTTAATCTTATAGTTGTAGTAATAAGTTTTAACGGAGAGGAGAGCCTCTCTCAATTTATTTATTTCGAGTTTGTAAAAATTTATCATTTTCAAATTTTGGTTGTTTTTCTGTTGCAGGAGTTTATTGTCGTAAAGTTTTTTTTCCCTTTCCATGATGATGCGGTTAATGTCTTGTATGTGTTCCATGTTCGTGTCCTTCGAGGCGTGTAATAAGGGTGTTGGTGGATGGGCGGTAATTCACCCAATTGATACAGAGATGCAGATACGCTAATGAATTATGCGAATGGGTTTTTTTTTTTTTTTTTTCCCTCCCTTACTAGGTTTTCCTCCAGCAACTCATTTTTACCCTTCAAATTTAGATGGTTCTGTTCGTGACTTTCCTTAATTTTGTGATTCAGCTTTTTGTGGCTTTCCAGCTCGTTCAGAAAAGTAGTGGAATTCTTTAGGAGAAAAGGGGGAAAATAATAAAAGGGGTTTAAAGACGGGGGATTTGTGGGTACTTAAAAAGGGGCATGTGCTTATCCGGATGAATGGCGTTGTAAAATGGGGGATATATAAATGTATGATTTATTACGGACCAGGTCTCTCATCCTCATGAAGTCTTCGAGTATCTCCTTATTGTTGTTCTGCGGTGAGCAGGTGAGGGTGTGCATGGGTAAGCATATGCATGTGTTGGTGAGTTGATTTGATTTTTATTCTTTTGCCTTACCAATAGTGTCTTCCTTTTCGAGTTTAGCTCATCGCGTGTTTTGGTCAGTATGTCTGCGAAGGGGCAGGTTGAAAATTTTCCTCAAGCGAAGTGGGTCTTCATTTAGAAAGTAGTGCCACTTTACATGATACACAAAGATATAAATTGTGATGTCTCCAATTTAAGAATGACATGTGTACCTTCCAAATATGTTTTGTAGCCCTCCATTTGGTCCCTCATGAGCTCGATAAAGGATAGGACATTTTTCGAGTTAATTTCGCACACTGCAGAAAGGGTGAGGATTGGGGGATTTCGGAAATAGCGCTTTTATCACTGGAGTGGAAAAGGAGGCAATGAAAGGGGTGCAGCTAAGGAAAGTATGGCACGAATACGATGAACAAAAAAAGCAAAAAAGCTAACAGAACAATGGCGCAATAACCTTTTTTAATCTTTTCGTCTTTATACTTTAAAAGGGAAAAATATTTTTCTATTTTCTTTTTGTATGACTCTTTTTCTTTTAGTGCCAATGCCTTCACATCGGCGATGTTCTTTTGGAACTCGGATTGGTAAGTGTCTTCGATTTGTTCTGTCACTTTTTCCTCCCCCGCGTTTGAGCTTATGGCGAAGCTGTTTTCGTTCAACTCGACGACATAATTTTTTATTTCCTCCAGAAATGGCTACAAGGGGAGCAGAGAAATATCAGAGGGTGGTCAGTATGATTCTACGCATAGTGACATCTTTGTTTAGTTCTATTGAACAGATTGTGGCGACCCATGAAGATTCTCCCTTTATTTCACACACAAAGACAATTCACACATCAGAAAGGGAGAAGTGCAGTGGGTTGGCGCAGAGGGTAATGGTGTGCGTGTGCACCATTTAGAAATGACATTAAGAGTGAACAAAATGATTCGAAAGGTCATATTATGGTGAGGTCCATATAAGGGGTTTTTCCTCTCATCGTGGAAGATGATCTCGCAAAAGGGTGCACCATATGTGTGCTTTTTTTTTTTTTTTTTTTTACTTGTTCCTTATGGTTCACCCGTGCGGATACTTCCCCCAGAAAGTCTTTTTTTTTTTCTTCCAAATTGTTAACAATTTCTCGCTTCAGGTTATCGTAGTTTACATTACACTCTTCATTTTTATATTCAAATTTGTATGTAGATGTAGCGTCTCCTGTGTTTGATAGATTATCTTCGGAGTTTTCTCCCTCCTGGTTTTTGCTTGTGGTTGCTTGTTTGCTCTCCTGTGGCGGTTCCCCTTGTTTATTTACTAAAAATACCAAGGGGGGTAACAGTGGAGAAAAGGAAGTGTGGAAAAAGGGGGAGATCAAACAATACATCCTTTTTTTTTGTTGTCACTTTTTTTTTTTTTTTTTGTCAGAATTACGTTTCTTTCTAATCCTGTTTCGCCTGTTTTCTATCCTCCTTTCTTTGGATGTACTCAGAAGGTCATCCATTATGCCTGCACGAAGGTCCCTTTGCGAAGTCCATCAAAGGGGTAAAAAAAGTGTGTCTCGAAAAATTTGCTTCCTAGGAATTTACTCAGCCAGTTGCTACGTGTTAGGAAGCAAGCCTATTTTGCTCTTTGTTGTGAGAGCGCGAAGCATGAATTTGTTCCAACATGCGTGTGCAGGCGTACAAGTTGGGGAGGGGGAGGGGACTCCTTTCGGGTGACTTTCATTCGTTTAGAAGTTCCTGGCCTATTTTGGAAAGGGCCACATGAAGGCGTGGATGTCCCTGTTCTTCGTAGAAGAGCAAACGTACACGTGTCTTTTCGAAAAATTGGTGAAATTAGCCACGTCCTGTTTACAAAGTAGTGGAAATGTTTCCCGAAAATGTGCAAGAAGGGGACCCTCGAAACGACCGCGATGATTCTCGCGCGTTTGCATCTGCTCGTTTCCGCGGCTCATGCACAGACATGAGAATACATATATATATTTTTTTCTTCTTCTTCTCTCTCCCCCTGCTTGAAGTGTATTCAGTTTTTATTTGTATACTTCCCTCACTTTTGTACTTGTAAAAAATAGAGCATGTAAAAAACGCATCTTGAATATATACCAAAAAAAAAAATGCGGAGCTGCAGCACGGCCTCGTCTGGAAGGAAGAGGAAATATGATGAGGTGGGATCGATACAGACGGAGAAACGATTCGGAGGACACATCATACAAGGAAAAAACAAAAATGGAAAAGGAAAAAGAAGATCCATCAGTCTGTCTAATGCTTTTTTCAGTGTAAAAAGTTTCGATAAGTATGACAATTCTTTCAAGTTAGTTCGCAGCGATACAGCACACGAGGAGGGGGAAAATTTGGAGATAGAAGCGGAAGCACCATGCTTAGCTGATGGGGGAGGAGGTACAGGCATCAAAGGTGGCGACGGTATAAGCGGGATGGAAGATGTAAGCGCGGGAGACCAACTCACATCGAAGCCCCCAGTGAATGAGATCCTTCTCCATATAAAGCGATTTAAATTTTTTCTTCTTAAAAAGTCCATGGTGTACAAAATTAGGTGTCTGAATCATAACTCTACGTGGCTCTCTGAGCTGTCCAAGGGGACGGGAAGAGGCAGACGAGGAGGAGTAAACCGGGGATATCTGCACGACTGCCTATTTGTTAACCCTTTTCCCACCTACAAAGAAGTGGTGCGCTTATACTATGAACAAAAATATAAAGAAGCCTATATAAAGCTAAGCCTAATTTCAGTTAATTCCTTTTCTTCACCCTGGGAAGAAGACATACTAAGGGATAACTACTTCGACAGGAAAAAATATAATTTGCATTTCCTCATCCATTCGATAGGATCCATACAGAAGATAAATTCTCCTTGCGGAAAACACAATTTAAAAAAAAAGGAAAAAACAAAAGTCCAAAGGAAAGGTAAGAAAAGTTCCACTTCGAAGGGAACAACAAATGAGTACTCTATTTTTTCTAACCAGAAAAAGGAGAAAATAATTGATAAGGGGAACACACTCCGGATGTATATGCAAAATGTGAAGAAGAAAAAAAAAGAGGAAGAAAAAAGGGAAAGAAAAAAAAAACGCAATTTCATTGTGAGGTATAAATTTATTAGGTACGAAAATGATGTAAATAGGTGGTGTGATAGGTATCTGCAAGAGGGAACATTTGCAGTGAAGGGGATAGCCAAGGGGGGGAAAGAAAAAATGAAGAATTCTTCTTGCAGAACGGGAGAAAAAATTAGTGCTCCATATAGACATCACTCCAACACGCGTAGCAAATCACAGTCAATGGGTAGGAAGAAGTATGTGATAGTACCATTCCGTAGCAATGTGCTCAATCCTTTTGGCAACCTTTCTGAGGAGGGACAGGAAGTGAGAGGGAAGGAAAAGGGAGACATAAACACCCATATTGAGAAGGTACCTGATGGGACAGATCTTCCAAATGGAAAAAAGGGCGATAAAGTAGAGCACAGCTGCTTCTTATCGGAGAAGGAAAAAACTCGTGGTTTGGTAAGAAGAAGAACCAAGGTAGACACCAATTTGTTAATCTTCCTCAAAATGTTGTGTCTGTATAAATATGCCCACTCCTTTGGAGAGAACAAAGTGTTAAGCCTAGGTGGGGATATTTCGCTTAAGCTACAAAACAACCGTTCTGAAGCAAATGAACTGAATTGTCCGACCCAAAAGGTTAGTATAGGAAGCGCTTTGAAAATGGAAATACTAATGTATATGGTCAAGTATCTGAGGAGAGTCCAAAAAGCAATTAAATTAGATACGCACCTTTGTCTGCTACTAAGTGTTGTTTACTATGATTTGAAAAAATTTCATAAAAGTGTGGTATATGTGAGGAAAAGCATCAGACGTGACTATTTCAACTTTGTGGCGTGGGTTTTCTTTAACAATTTAATTTCCATCGAATTGTTTACTGGAGGTAGTTTAGGAAAAAGCAAAACGGGAAGACGTGATAGTGAGTTGTTAATGGAAACTGCCCAGGGGCGCAGCCAGACGTGTGGAAGCACTTATGAATCCATTTATGAAGAAAAAAAAAGATTTCGCGAAAACTCCAAAAAGTTGAAAAGGCTGTGTAACTATTTGTTTTTAAATGAATATATTCAAAATGGAAAACAGGACTTCCTAGACGTGGCGGAGCACTATTCTAGGTACATCTACGTGAACCCCCTGCGCAACTCTGGGGCATCTTTTTTTTTTAGAAACGGTTACTTTGTAAGTCGCGTTTTTAGGCAGGGGGGAGAACAGCGGCTAAAAAAGGGGAATTACTCAAAAAAAACCAAACAGTGGAACAAAAAGACACGTCTCACATGGTGCGAAAAATACCAGGGGTACCTAAAAAGGTACAAGTTTAAAAGGAATCTCATGTCGCTATTCGGGTTCGCTCACTTTTGCTCCCTCAATTGTTTGCTCTACAAAGATTCCATAAAGACCTACAAATATTTAAAGGAAATCATGCCAAACAATTTTTATGTGTCCTGTGAGCTAGCCAAATTATATTATTATTGCGGGGAGGCAAAAAAGAGTATAAAGTGCTTTGACAAAATGAATCGCATCTGCAAAAGGAACATCATTTTGGAGAGACGATTGCTGGAAGGTTGTTGTGTTCGCTATTTGCAGAGAAGGGAAAGGAGAAGGAAGAAGGGGAAACAAGGAGCACAAACCAGTGGTGAGAGTGAAGCATGCGTTCAGGTCATAAGTGCGAAGAAGTGTAGAGAGATGGAAATGTTGCTGCTCCCTGGGTACTTCTCAAACGGGTTTGTTTATGTAGAACTTTTGGTGAATATACTTGTGTGTGAGAAGAACCTCCCCGCTTTGTTAATTCTTCTGCGGGATTGTGAAAGAGCTGCGGAGAAGTGCACAGATAAGAGTAGAAACGCAAAATATGACTCTAAATTATGCTACATCATGGGGAAATATTTCTCCCTATGCAATAATCGGAAGATGGCAATTCTTTGCTTCAAGCAAGGAATTCAAAGGAATAAATATCACTTGTTCTCATATATGGCTTTGGCTGAGGAGTATTTCTCGTGTGGGAATGTGAACAGTTCTGTTGGCATTTTAAGGAGGGCTATTAGTTTATATTTTAATAACCCGAGTGCGTGGTTTAGCTTAGCTAAATGTTTTGAATGGAAAGAGAATTACGATTTTTCCATTTTTTGTTATGAACAAGCAATAAATTTTCAGCAAAGTACCATTTGTTATTTGCACCTGTCTGGGATTTATTTGAAAAAGGGAGACGTGAACAGTTACATAGACACTTTGAAGAAAGCCTGGGTGTTTACAAAAGATTCCTTGTTCGCGTCTATGTTGTTTTTTATATATTTATCAAAGTTGAAAAGGCAAACTAGGATGTGTTCCTTCATGGAGGATGAAGTGCAGGAAGAAAATGTCGCTTACTGCTCTAACAAGGAAAGGAGTAAAAAGAATATTTTTCTTTTTTACGAAAAAAATAATGAGTGTTTCAGATGGTGTGTCAAGTATTTAAATTGTTGTTTGAATAAAATGAAGATAATGCGGAGGTTAAATCGAATGGGACGTGTTTCGTCTGTCTCTAAATTTGAAGTTGAAGAAGTTGGAAAGTGTGTCCATTTGGATGATAACATGAAATGTGAGACGTACGATAAATGGGGCAGTAATTCCTTTTTAAAAAATTTTAAAAAGATATTTGAGAAAAACACAAGTTATTTTTGCTTTATTCACTTTTTAAGAAATTCCTCCACTATTCTGTTGGAAGCTATATACTACTTGGCACATTATTTTTTTTTCCACGAAAGTTTTTACAATGCTTTGAAGCTGTTTGAAATTTTGTGGGAGGCAGGGGGGATGAATTCGGAGGCCTCTTTCAGGATGTACAGGCACACACACAGGATGTTACAGGGCGGTTGGAAGGAATCCAAGGGGAAAGCACGGTGAAATTTTCCAAGTGGTGTTTTTATTTTGCACACCGCTGTGTGGATATGTTCCCTCGGAGTGTCGTTTTGTGCGACCACTGATAGCTCTGTTATTTGTTCACACCTTTCGGATCATTTTTAAAGTTTTGCTAAATTTGCATTTACCCGGGCTGGAAGCAGTAAAATAGGAAATTTTGCAAGGGGATATCATTGAGGGTTGCCCCAAAAAGGGTCCTTACACAATTTTGTTAAGTATAATAATATTAGTGCACACGGCGGAAGCAAACCCGTTTTTTTTTTTTTCAGTTTTGCTCATGAATTCTGTGTGCGTGTTATTACTTCGTTCACCTGTCAGCACACGTGAGCTCATGCATACAGACACACACGTCTATATGTATGCCTGTCCGTGTTTGCTCACGTGTGCTGACAGGTGTGAACACGTTGATCCTTTCTACAAAAAAGCTACACGCATGGCGTTATCTACCTATTTGTAAAAAAAAAAAAAAAAGAACAATGAGTGTACAGATAAATACATGTGTATGTGTGTGTGTATGCGTATTTGCATACACTTGAGTGTTTGCGATTGGGCACATTTTACCTGACCATGTCCAATTTTGGGGAATTTCTTAAAATCAAGTTGTTTTATTTTTTAAAGAAGACAATCATGTAGCATTCTGGTCTTGTTTGTTAAGCACATGAGGGGAAACATTTGAAGCATCTTTTCGCCGTCCAGTCGCATTGATCTCATTCCGTTTTTTTCTTCATTCGATAATGATATGCGTGTATGTATAATAAGTATATAGTTTGTTTTTTTTTTTTTTCGTTTGGATTTTCTACAAACAGTGAAGTCGACGATTGGGCCAACTTTGTTACCACGTTGGGTACATTTCGAGTGGCACATGAAAGCGAGTTGGTTAGATGTATTAGCGTTAATATTTTTTTTTTTAAAAAGGATAAGTCTTTGCACAAGTTTATGCGTGAGGGTAATAAAATGCTGAATTTGAAAGTGGCCTTTTTTTTAAGCGCCTGCATTTTGTTGTTCCCTCGGTATGGTGCCAGGAGGGATGTACGATCAAATAAGGACACACCTGATCCTTCGTCCTATGTGTATAAATCATTAGAAGGGACGCAATTGAACCCATGGGGTTGGGAAAATAGCAAAACGGGAAAACTGTTTGGCGGTAGTGCAAATAAAGAGAATAACAATAAGGAGGGAGAGACCCAATTTTCCCTTCTTTGTTGTGCTAGGAAAGGAATTTCCTGTGAGGGATACAACCTCCCCAGTGAAAACATGTGTGCCTTGCCAGAATACCGAAATGCGAATCTATGTGGTAGCGCCCATGACAGAATGATCCAACAGAATGATGTCTATCCTTATCGCTTCAGCGATGGTAAGGCTTCCCCCCTTTTACACACAAATGCAGGAACGACGAAACAGATGAGCAAGGGGGGTGAACACAAATTTCATCAGCTACTTTTTCTTTTAAGAAATATCATATCCTCTAAAATGGAACCGAGGCAGGAGATGATACAAGGAAGGCATAAAAACTACATCGCAGTTATGGAAAGTGTAAAGAATAAATTCGTTTCTAAATTTTTGGAGGACGAAAGGATGAAGAGAAATGTAGGCACCTATCACATGTGGTACGAAGAAGGAACTTCCAGACTGTTTGCTTACCAAGAAGAAGTAAAAAAAATAATGAGTAGAGCGAGAAAAAACCGCATATTAGTTGAGGCATGTACACTGGAGTGTGGAGATAATGGCACATGTGAAATGAATTCAGGACTTCAGTACTGCGATTGCAAAGTGGGTTATTCAATGGATATACAAGATAATTTTATGTGTAAAGAACATTGTGAAGTGAATAATGGGGGGTGCGATCCGAATGCGGTGTGCACTCCTGTAAAACCTGATGAAGAACAAAATAAAGGAGTCATAAAAAACGTTGGTGTTCTTTGCACATGTAACAATGGCAACACGAAGCATATGGGGTATTACTGCAACTCTGGTTATTTCACGAGCCTTAATCTTCTCCTGCTGCTCTTGTTGCTTCTCTACTGGTGTCACTGAGGTTGTGGCGACACTTGCGATTTAGGCGGGCCATTTTGGTAATGTGCCGAATTTGTTGCTAACTTTTTGGGAAGTTTTGAGAAATTCTTTGAGAATTTTTTTTTTTTTTCTTTGATGCATTAATGGTCCCTCCCGCATCCCAATTGTGGGACCGCGTGAACTGCCTGGTTTGCAGTCGCGTCGACACAGCAGCACGTGGACGGATGCGGACGTGGAGGTTTATGTGAATATTGATGTGAGTTTTTTTCCCCCAAATTTTTGCTATTTTTTTTTTTCCCCCATGCACAGGAACTTTACATACTTCCACGTCTGCATTGTGGTTGGTATGTTTATTTTACCCCCCGATGCGAGTTAACATAATTTTATCTCACACACTTTTTGTGTGTGTGTGTGTGTGGAGAAGCGGTAACTAGTTTCTTTGGTCTGCGTTATGAGTTTACACAACATGTAGCTGTTGAGTAGGGTACCCACTTTTGGGCAACTTTTTTTTCTTCGATCAACTCGTGACATATTTTAGGCGTTTCCACCTTGGCAGGTATAACGTTGGCACGCAGTGCCATTGTATCATGTGATGCCCATGAATAGATATAATCCTTTGGGACATTCTCACATGATGCTAATAGTAGCTTCCTCCAAAATGGGTTACACTTTTATTTTTTTTTTGTCCGCACCGTTTTAAAGGGAAAGAAAAAATAATTGCGCCGTGAGTCAAATGGGCAAGCCCATAAGGCAGAAAAGGGGGGGAAAATTGCAAATATAGTACAATTTTTGTGTTTATTTAAAAAATTGCGAAGCGGAAAATATCAAATGAAGTGGTTTTAAAAAAAATGCTTTTAAAATAAGTACTGGTTTGAATTCCTTTTCGAATTTCTCATTCGAGGGAAATTACAAAATTGGGGACTTTATGTGTATGTATAAATAAATATCTTACGGAGTTTTTTTTTTTTTTTTTTTTTTTAATTCTCCCCTCTGCGTGTAAACATTTATGTACCATTTTTACACTCAGTTTTAAGTTACATTTTGCGTATATGCCCATTTGTGTTTTAAACTTAACAGATATGTGTAAAAGCTTTTCGCTTATTTGGCATTCGTGCGGTGATCTTTATAACTTCGCGACAGGAATTTAAAAATTTGCCAAAGGTGAAAGCAAATTTTAAGTTTGAATTGCGAAGAAAGACACGTAACATAGCATTGCTGGAGTTTACTATGATGTTAGTTCTTGAATTGGGGGACGTGTAAAATTTACGACCGGATCATGTGCTTAGCATATTTGCGAAAATGCGCAGAGTGATACACCGCTCATGTGCACAGTGACTGAGGGAGCAACGTGATTACCCACGTCAAAGAGGAAAGGTGAAGCAGTAGTCTATTCCTGTCACTATTTCCCTCCTTCCAATTTTGTTTTTTTTTTTTGTTTTTGTTGCTCGACCTCTGCTAAACGATGTTGCAAGGGAAGATAAAAAAGTTCAAGATACCCATTAATAATAACATTGAGAATTTTTTAAAGGACATAAGCTTAAGAAAAAATGAGTATGTGTACGGGTGTGGGGCGGAGGATATAGAAAATGTGAATCTGAAGGCTGAGTGTATAATTAATTATTTCAATTTTATCAACGACAGTTACAGCAATCTTTTACTTCTATTGTGTCAAGAGGGCTTTGACACTGTGTTGAATTACATACGCATAAGTGACAATTTAAACGATGGAGAACAGGAGAAGATATTTGGGTGTCTAACTATTTTAATAGAAAAAAGTGTGGACGTTTTTAAAAACTATTTTAAATGTGTAGAAAAATATCACCAGAAAAATGGGTATTGTGATAATGGAGTGGAAATGTTAGAATTTATATTAAACGAAAATAATAACATCATGAATATGATAATTCAGTGCTTGGAAGATAATTACAAAGAGTATTCTGTAAATGAAAAGAGGAAAAAAAAATTTACCTTTTTTGAGATCCACGAAATTTTAATCTCTTACTTTAATGCGCTCACATTTATTTACTTAAATCTGTTTAATTGTTATTATAACCAAAATTTTTGTAAGCACCAGAATACTGAAATGGTGGTTGTTAATGTTCAGAGAGGGAGGAAAAAGCTGAAAAAGGAAAATGATGAAGAAACAAATGTCGCTTTGAAGAATATGAATTGTCTTTTGAACAATATTATTTTATTGGTAAGTAATATCAACTTTGATATTTTATATGATAAGGTAAATATTCCTGTGGTGGATTTATATTTGCATTTTTTTCTAAATATATATACAATTAACCAGGAGAATAACAACATGTTTAACATAACTACTTATCATGATCATATCTCAACGATCATTGGGACCCTGCTGAAGATGTACATTAAGGAAGATAAGGAAAGGGGTAGGATTGGTACTCTGTCCAATAGGGGCAACAGAAGCAAGGAGAGCGATAAAAGTGGAGAAAAAAAAAGCGGTGCTGCTGGGTTGCGACAAAAGGGAGATTTTAGCCAGGGATTGGGTGAAGATAGTGGAGATGGAAATGACGACGATAACGGAGGTGACAGTAACGCTGATCAGAGTGGTAACCCAGTTGAAGAGACGCGGAAGGACGTCCCAAAAGAAGAAGACAACAAGAGCGAAAAGTCAGTGGGGGAAAAATTCTATTCCTTCTCCTTTACGTACATTTTTTTAAACAACTGCAAAAAATGCACCAACGTAAATATCTGTGATGCCCTGTTAAGGGTGAAGAACACGGACATTCCGGCAATCATTATAAAGGAGTTTATTGATTATATAAAGGAGAATTCGCTTCTCTATTTAAACCTCAGCGTACAAACACATGCACAAAATGAAATATTAAATGTGCTTAATTTTTTGGAGTACTTATCGAAAAATTTAAGTTACCATGTGCTGTCATTTTTGAAAGACTTGACGGACATGCTAGGCATTGATATTTATTACATTAGAAAATCCATTTTCGAGATGTTTAAAAATTTTATAACTTTAGCCAAGGCTAGTGAGGAGCTGAACGAGGGGGCGAGCACCGACAGGGATGGAGAAGACGGACATGGCACGCGTAGTGGAAGGTTTAAGATGAATATGGACACGGGGGAGTTGGAAGACGAGGACGTTGATGATGATGAGGACGATGACGGAGCGGGGGAAGCTGGAGGATCGGATGGGGAAGACGAATCGGAAGAGACAGACCAGAACGACGATAGCAGCGACTTTTTCTCTGATGGAAAGGATGATGAGAGTAAGTCGTCCGATGAGGAATTTAAGAAAGGGAAGGGAAATAGGAAGAAGAAATTAGACACGAAAAGGAACAACAAACGTGTTAGCAGGGAGAACTCGAAGAAGTGTTGCATACGTAGACAGAAGCAAAAGGGACAGAACAAAAAAAAGAAAAAAAAAAAAAAAAAAAAAATGAACGCATATTTAAAGTCATTTGGGGTAAGCGTGAACGAAAGCAGCATCAGTACGTACAAAGATATTATTCACAAAATAGTTATGGAAGACATTCCATTTTTACAATTATGTTTTAGTGAGTGCTTAAAAAACCGAGCCTTTGTTATGAACGTGTTGATGTCTAGGCAGCATGATTCGAAGCTGCATGTGCGATGCCATTTGTTAAAAATATTGCAGGAGTTAATTGAAAATAATTTCATCCCTCTCAACTATTACAATAACTTGTGTTTGATATGTAGCGAGAGGATAAATGACAAGTCTCCCTTGGTGAGGCAGAGGGCCTTTTCCCTCCTTTCGTGCATAGCGAGCGACGTGGTGAAGAATAAATATGTCATCCCGCTGAACACGTGTGGAATAAAGAGGGAGCTGGCGAACCTGAGCAGGAGGAAAGACGCAATGCGAAGGAAGGAGCTGCCCAATGGGACGGGAAAGAAGAGAGTTAATTTATCAGATAGTGATAGCAGTGATGGGGGAGGGAGCGACATAACGGATGGGGGCCAAGTAAACGGAAAAGCGAAAAATGATAGTAACGACGATGTCTCAATGCGAGAGAATGATCAAGCGAACGCAAGGAAGAATCACCAGAATAAGTACGACTTGTTAATAAAAATGTACAATGAAGTTTTATTCATTTCGATTATTGTTGACGATTGTGTGGAACTTTGTTTCAGATTGTTGTACTCCGTGGTGGAGACGGATCAAAAGAGTGCCATCCGATTTATTATACTAGCACATATGTGTGGAAATAAAAAAGCAGAGGAACAAATGAACAAAGTATGGTCGCTAATTTTTAGCAACAATTCAAGCATAGTAGAAATTATTATCAGTGAATTTGTAAATGTAAATATAACTTCTGATGATTATCGAATCAGTGCCTTTCGATTAATTAATGTTTGTCTTAATAGTAAGTTGAAGGATCTCTCATGTTTAGAAAAGATAATGGAGTGTCTGTTAATGCAGGAGAAGTCCAGCGTAAGTGTTACGAAATTGCTGGATGAATTATTTAACATAATTTTTGTAGATACGTTTAGTGAGCACAAAAATTTGATAATCAAGGAAGGGGCTCTGCTTCTCATGAAGATACTCTGCTATTCTATCCACACGGTTAATTTGAAAAAAGGGAAAAAAGAACATTATTTTGTTTTTAGCAACAAAAGGAAACATCTGATTTTGGTATTCATCAATCAATACAAGGAAAATCTGCATTTTATAAATCTGTTAATTTTAATTTTGCGGTATAATAAGACGAACAAAATTGTCCAGAATTTACTCATCATTTTGTTTAACTTAGTTTTTGATCATATGTCTGATGGGAAGGGGGAGAAAAATGGAGAGACTTGTTTTTCTAGTGATATGAGTCCCCGTGCATCCTCCCTGGAGAAGATTAAAATGGGGCGCGCCAGCATTAACGGTGTTATAGGGAACCTGCACAATGGGGAAAGTCCCGAACAGATGGACTGCTTCCACCTTCACGATGACAGAAATGTGTGGTTCAAGTGTTGTCAATCCATTGTGGAAAGCATGTACGAACACTTTGATGACTTCCTGGCCATATTTGCGATGAAGATGAAGAGCATGCTTAGTTCCATCCTTTGTGGTGGGAACAAAAGTTCGAATGAAGATTTGACTGAAAGCAGAGGGAGAGACAGCTCGGCGTGCAGACTACGGAGCAAGGGAGTTGACGATGGGGGAGATATTGCAGTAGATAAATCCAACAAGGTTTCTTGCTTCATGTTAACCAAATTTATATTCGTGTCAGGCCACCTAGGGTTATATACCTACATATATGCAGAAAAGATACAAAACAATTTGAAAAAGATCGCATCGAAAAGTGACAGCAATTATGGGATGTGCACGAAGGAAGAAAAGGATAGAGAATATTTTGACTACGTGGTTGAAAATATGATTGTATGTAATAATTTGTTGGGGAAAAAAATTATGCCTTTAATATTTTTAATTTTGAGTAACCCGGAGAATTTTTATAATGACTGTGTAGTTAAGGTCGAAGCGGAAGGGGGGAAGAAGTGGTCTCTTAAAAGTGGCAGTTTCGCTTCGTTTAAGGATGGTGATAATGTGAAGGGAAATATCTACATGCATTATGAGATGTACTTACTGGTCCTGGTCTGTCTCCTAACCTTGTGCAAGTTTTGCATAATTTCGCAAAAGTTTTGCCAGAGCGTCGTGCGAGATCATGTGTCCATTATACAGCTGATTGTATCCATCATAACGGAGGAGGGTAACTCTATTTTTGATTTGAAAACGGAGATGCTTCTTGGAAGAGGGGGTGTCCGGCCGTCCAATGGAAACGACGAGGGGAGCGACGGCATGCTGAGTCACGACAGTGACGGTGGTGACCATGGTGTAGCCCATTTTGTGCAGTCCTCCTCTCGCAGGGGCAGAAGGGAGAGTAGAGAATCGAAAAAGGAAGACAACCATTTGTGCATCGAAAATGAGAAAGTGGACCGATTTGCAACCCAGGAGGAGGGTGACAGCCAGGACGACCCGTGGAATATGTTTCGAAGCAGAATGATGTTGAGGACTGTTTCAAACATACGAAAAATGCTCCTAATCAGTTACGCCGATTTGTTATATAGGCACCCAAATTTATTGGAGCCATACAATAAGTACATTTTTAAAGTTCTCAATGATAAGGACATAAACCTGAGAAGGACGGCCGTCTCTGTCTTTACGCACCTTTTCATGACGGACACGGTGAAGGCAAAGAATATTTTGCTTGTCCATATGATGTACTTAACCATCGATAAGGATGAAAAAATATCTAGTGGGTCCAAATCATTCTTCTATGAATTAGACAGAAAGTCGCATGTGACACTGGTAAACAACATATGTGACATGATTTCCGTCCTGGCGAGAAATGAAAAGAAACTCAAGTATGAAATGAATAAAGAAATCGAAGAATTTCTTCTGAGTTTTATTAAAAAGAGTAAATATAACGAAACGTTGGTCGAAAAAATTTTTAAAAAAATGAAAGAAGTCAATATTAATAAAACGGACGAACTGAAACTGTACATGCAGGTCTTTCTAAACATACAAATTGATGAAAAGGTTCTGAGCAGAATGAATAAATGCTTTCCTCTAATTAGATACATCATAAGGGAGAATCAGTACATTCAAGACAGCTTCATTCATATATGTAAAAAGGCAACGGAGAAAAAGAGGGGAAGACCGGCAGAGGAAGGGCAACAGCAGCAGCAGTCGAACTCGTTGAATATTGAAAAGGGAAATAACGAACGCGTCGAAAATGAAAAATTGGAAAGTAAAATGAGGGATCTGGCTGAAGATATCCTAAGCAAAATCGAATCCACCACAAATAAATCCAAGAACGTTTTTAACGCTCATGGCAGTGCAACAAATGTGGTCTTGAAGGAATTGAAAAATAAGGAAGATGACGATGTGGTTAGAAATGATGAGGATCTGAGTATGAGCAGAAATGAGGAGGGAGACACTTAGCAGCGAAGATCGAATTGGGACCGCACCATGGAGGTGTACCTTTGGGGGGAAAAGTTTTCACAGTCGACCCGAAAGGGCATTAAGGGATGATCAAATGGGAGACTTAACAAGCTTTATATTTTCGAGTTAATGCGGAGGAGAAAAATTGGGCTGCCATGGGCTAGCCAAGTTGTCGCTAGCGCATCGCGTGTTTGTTCTTGTTTCTTTAATTTGTGAGGAAGGAGTTCCATGGGCGTTCATTATTCTTGGACCTGTCCCTCACACGTACATGCATCTGTACATAGGTACACTTTTGTGTGCACTCATTTTTATGCCTATTTGTGCAATTACAAAGTCGCCCTCTTTTCGTCACTGCTGCTTTTTCTCGCTGCTGGTGCGTATGCATATGCTTTTTAAAAACCAAAAGGAGCAACGAGAGGCACAATGGAACATCGTTCGCACGAGTTTGTGGTACCCACGTTCGTGTGTTTACGGAATGCATGCTTCTCGTTTCACCCCTGTTGCCGTGATCGGGAGGACATGCAAATGTATATGTGGGAATGTGGGCAAGTGTGTGTCTGTGCAGGCGCGCACGTATGTTTGTATGCACACATGTATGTATGTTTCGCGAGTTTTTTTTTCTTTTTTATTTTTGTTTCCCCCTTTGCACTGTACTGCTAAAAATGAACAATGTCTTGACAATTTTGAAACCGCTAGCCGTTTTGTAAATTTTAAAAAAGGATAAACGTTTGAAGGGTGCGGAATGGAAGATTAAAGGAGATGTGTCCAGTTGGGGATGCACATTTCTCATTTCATAAAGTAGAAGGAGGGGATTTGTCTTTTTTCTGTAAGAAGCTGAATTTATTCCAGGAATATACTCGCACAATTGTGGGGAATATTTTACTCTTCCTCGTGTCCTTTTTTAAGAAGGTGACTGAAGGGGAGGGGTAAACGACGGGCGTGGAATCGCGAGTATAGTTATATGGTATCTGGATAAAATATTTTACTTCCATTTGGGTGCCCTACGACAGCACCCTATGGAATAGTGCATCGTTTAAGTTTTCTGTTAGATAAGGATATAGGCTTTGTGTGGGGCCCCTTGTTTTAACCTTTTATAGGCCTCAAGTATCTCGGTTCTGGAAACAAAGCTGTTTTCTATCATGTCTTGAACGGGGGGGGAGGGGAAATGTCATATATATTTGTGTTGGTAACAATGGGTTGTGTTTATGGTGCGCAATCACATAGAGTAGGATGCGTCTAATTATATATTACCCGTGATGACGTAGTGCACTATGTCCTTTTTCACCCTTATCTGAAAGCAACCGCAACCATCGGAGTTTTTATGATTTAGGAATGTATTGCTCAAAGAGCTGTTTCTTTTTAGGGACAAATTTTGAAGCAAATAAAAAGGGGGATTTTCCTCAAGGAGGTGTCCTTACCAAGTACTGAATTAAGTCCGCCAGCCATGGGAGCACCATTAGGTTCATGTTTTTCTGGAAGGTCGTAGAGGTGGATAAGCGATGGGGCGAAATCGTGCATATATATATATGCACAGTTGTATACTTATACATAGACACATAGACCTAACTGTTCACTGGTGTAGGGAAGGTACTCGGTTACGCGCCGAACGGGTACATTTTCCCCCTTGGACCTCCTTTCCCCCTTTTACCTCCAAGCCGCTTGGGAAATAATCCATCAAGGAATACAGGTCCAAGTTTTTCTGCAGTATTAAGTGCATGTTCTTCTGTGCTTTACTATGTGCAATTTTTTTTTTCATAATAATTTCGACTTTCTTTTTGAGTAGGATCCTGTCTTTTATTTTATGTTGCTGAGATTGAAAAGATTGAAAAGGGGGGTCATGGAAATTGTGGGATGAGGACGCTCGCTACACTTTTTCGTGGACTTAAAGAGCGCATATATGTGTGTGTGTTTTTTTTTTTTTTTTTTGTTGTTCTCCTTTTTGCCCAACATGATAAGCATTTATTACCGTTTGATTGTAAAAATTGTCACTATTATGTTCGTAGTTTTTAAGGGATTGATATTTGTCTTGTCTGATTTGTTCGTAATGATTTATTTTGTTTATTATTTTACTTAATTCTTGGTCTTCGTAGATCTGCCAGGAGGGGAGGAGTAAAAAGAAAAATAAAAAAAAATAATTGTATGTAAGCGTCTGGTGGTGTACACAATGCTAAGGCGAGGTATCTGGGGGCTTGGGAATAGTCCCATGTATTGAGGCTGCAGACAAAGTTACCTCTTTGAACGCTTGATTTAGGACATGTTCAACAAGCTGCTCAATCTGGGGCTTCACTTTCCTGTTTTTTTTTTTTTTTTTTTTTTTTATGTAGATAAGGGGGTTTAAAAAAATGGTGAATCGGGTAATAAGTGCATCGCGTGTGTATGGTCGTTATAAATTCAGAGATGAACTACAAAATGAGATTTTCTCCTCTGAATTGCATTTGCGTTTGTTTTATGCAATAGTTACGCATCGTTATTTTTTGGGGGGGACGTTTAACTATATGTAGATGTTTTTTTTCCATTTTTTCATACTCGTAATATTTGGTAAAGTCATCAAGGAAGACTTGCGTTTCTTCGTCCCTGTAGGTTGGCTTCCTTATTAACTTGTTTTTTCTATCCCTTATTCGTTTTTTCTTTCTGTCCTCTAACTCTCGCTTCTTTTTTTTTTTAAACTCCTCTATAATATCTGTGCATTGAAAGTCGTCACTTGAGTTGTCTTCCATGGACTGGCTACTGGAGGAAGGGGTAGCATTTTTTCTCTTCTTAACGGAATCGTCTTCACATGTTTCCGACTGAATTTGTACATTTTGTTTCTTGAGAAGATGGATAAGGTATTTATCATCACTTTTTACTTGTATGAATTGAGGACCATTTCTTTTTTGTGTTTTGTCTTTAACACTTGAATTTGTTTCATGGGTGCTGTTCCCCTTGTCACTTTTGTGTCCTTCACCATTTGTGTTAGCAGTATTGTTTAGGTGGTGTTCCACTTTTGTTTTGTTTAATGTTTGTTCGCGAGTTTTTGTTGATACATTCGTTTTGTCTTTTTTTGCTTCTGTTTTTTTTCCTGACTTGATTTCACCCCTGTGCGCATGGCAAGATTTGCCTTTATCATTTTGGATATCTGCAAAAGGGGGTATTATAATGGCGGGTTTTACTTTTTCATTTTTTTTTTTTATCCAACTTTTTGGATTACATTTTTTACTGGTAAACTTATCGTCTTTTTATATTACCACTTCTTAGTGGGCTGTGTGCGGATGTGTAGGAATAATCCGTTCCCTTCTTCCCGCGGGGGTTTGGAGCCTGATTTTAGCACAATTACACAGTTGGGGGGAATTCATGTTGACATGGGGACATATGCACTCATGCAGGGAACAGTAAAACTGCGGGTAACTCACTAAGACGCAACCTCATGTATATGTAAATCTTTTGTGACAATCTATTTTTGGAAGATTGAGAAAGAAGCACTTGTGGAGTTGGGACACACTTTGCGTATTCGCTCAGGAAAAAATAAGAAAGGGGAAGTTTTACAACATATCGGCCCATCTGCTTTGTTATTTTCACACCGTTTAGTTTACCTGTCCGTGCGCTTTTAGAGGCCACCTAGGGTTTACATTGTTGCCCGATTTGCATGCTGCTTGATTTTTGTGTTTTATTCTGTGATGGGGGTGAACCGCATAAACATGTCTTTGTGGTTTCTATATGGAGATGGTTATTGCTTCGTGCTGTTTACCCTAAGAGCATTGTGCCTTTTTGGTTACTTTAAAAATTGATTACCCTATTGATTCTACTTTAAGGTTCACGTCATCTTTCTTCATTTTTACTTACAAGGAAGGGAAAGCAATAACGGGAAGACATAACTGCCTGTGACATGCCATAGGAAGAGCAGCCCTTCCTTGTGCAGGCGCATCCTTGTGTGTGCCCCTGACAGTGGGATGGGGTAAGAGGGAAAAAACGGAAATTGAAAAAAACTACGACACAGCGCGATGTTATTCGATGTAATGAGGTGTTTAACGCAGATAGGGGCACACTGGATGCCAATTTTATTTATTCTCCTTTCTTGTCTCATTTTCGTCAAAAGTTAAAAAAAAAAAAAAAAATGTAAAAATATTCACATGCACATTTGGGGGCCAACGTAGCAATAGTGAGATGAACGAATAGGTGAAGCGTTTCCATTTTGGGCAAGTAAAGAAAATACATGGATTAAGAAGTAACAAGACCTTGAATAATAACATCCCACGAATAGCATTTCATAGTTTACATGTTTTTCTGGACGTTTTAAAAGTTGCCCGCGTTTTTATTGAGTATATGAAAATTTTTTTTCGTATATACAGAAGTGATTTATTTTTTGGGCGGGCTTCAATTTGGTCAATTTTTCATAAATTCAATGGGCCAGAATATAATTCATTTTAGGGATAGTACGTGTAGTTATTCACACATGGGAATGACACGTTGGTGAATTTACCCAAAAGGGGATGGTAAAAATGAAAAGACAGTCTACAAATTGGTATATTATCCCGATTCAACAAAACGGGATGGACAAAGATGGAGCCCAAATGTGTCCTCAAATATGGACACATTTGCTTAAAAGAACAAAAAAAAAAAAAAGAGAAAAATTTTCCCATTGACAAATACGGAAAGTGTGGGATTGTTCTATAAGTGTGCATAGGTACACATTGGTGCACTTGTACATTTAACCCCAGACGTATACCCTTTTTGCTGTGCTTTGTTTTGTCACTTTGAAGGGTATACATTTGGACTTAAACCCCACAGAGATGTTTGGGGTGTTCCTATTTTTTATTTTTGGACGTTTTACGCTCTCAGTTATGGGTGATTTATGGGGACACAATTATACCGTCTACACAGTGGACAAGCATATGGATGGTGGTAAAGCGCGATGACCTACATTCCCGCACCATGCTTCCAAATTATAAGAATAAAAAATCATAGAGGATGTTCTGAAAACGTTGCACCTGTGTTGTGTCGTCTGGTAGGACAATGGACTTGTTTTCAAATTGGTTGTTTCGCCCTTTTTTTTGGGTAGCGATTTTTATACAATTCTGTTTCCGCTGGTTCAGTATCACATTGACAGCATCGAATATTTTTTTTATTTTATGTGTGAATTTTTTCGTGCGTCCGATTGCGTCGAGCACAGTTTGAAACTTTGGGAGGTCTATCAAATGTAAGAGGTTGAGGAATTCATGGGTAGAATAAATAAAAGATGTGAACAAATACTCTATAAAATAAAAAAAATGCTTCCTATCAGTGTAATGCTTTTTTTGTATAAAGAAATTACGTTGACGTTCTTTCAGCACATCGATTAGGTATTCATTCTTCAAATTCAGGAGGATTAAATATTTTAAAATAAAAAGTTGTTCGTAAATATCTATCTTGTTCAGGTAACACACGATGTTGAACGTGAATTCTGCCATGAAGTGGGCGACAAAGTTGTCCCTCAAGTTGTGGGGTGATTGTTCCATTGTTGGTGGTTCACCATTGGGGGTATGGTTTATGGGGTTGCAATTTGTGTTGATTGGTTCTTTTTCTTGGTGTGGTGGTATGAGAAGGTCGTGGAGAGTGTACCGGTTAAGGGAGTTTAAAAACAGGGAGTACCTGTCCTGACTTCTTTGCAAGTCGAATGTGGACTCCCCAAGAGGAGGGTAACCAAAGGGGCAGCTTTCACAATTCAGCATGTTCTCCCTTTTGAGATAGTACAACACGCTCACAAGGCCATAGCAGACATCGGGAGTTGCTTCCCCCTTCAGAATAGATTCACATGATACTTTCTTGAGGAAGGTGTAATATATGTTTACATTTTGAAACGCGCCATCGTCACAGAGAAGTTTAAACAACTCATGCGAGAGGATATTCAAATGGAATACCTTTAAATGATTAATCCTTTCCGTAACCTTTTCCATGTTTTGAAAAAATAAAGAAAACACTTCAAGGTATAGTTTTGCATCTCTGTACACGTCCTCATTTATACTTGTAGCATTTTGTATTTTTTCCATTACAAATTTGTTGTCTATAAATTCGCACTCTGTGAGCATATTTTTTAGCAAATGGAAGTGAAGACGAATGTACAAGTCGTACGTTGATGTATTCTCACACTGACCTTTGAGATACGAATTCAGGATGTCATCTTCATAGGTTCCATTTTCATCATAGGAATGGTGATCACTATTGCTTCCGTTTTTGTTACTACTGAATATGTGCTGGCTACATTGTGTATTGATGCTGCAAATAATTTTTAAAAAAGTTTTTCTGCTGATTATATTCCCTTCATGCAGATAATTTAGGAGTAACAAATTCGTGTACATGTTCTTTTTTATGTTCAGGTAAATATTGCTATAATTGTGCGTCAGGATTTCTTTAATTTTTAAATGGGTTTTTTTCATTTCTACGGAGATGTCCTCCTGCTGGTGGGGGGAATTTTGCAGTGACAGTTTTTCCTCCGCTGGGTTAGTTTTACATGGGGTTAGGCTATGGCTTACGCTACTTGTGTTCGCTCCGTGTTGGCTCAGCGTACCGTTGGACTGAAGGGTGCATTCGACACTGCTGTGTTGACCTGGACAGGTTGTATCGATGTTGTCCCCAGGGGGGAGAACCAAATTTGCCATGACTTCCCCGTAATATTTCTCCTTCCATTTTATATTTTCATTAACATCTTCTAGGTAGTCCTCCAAGTGAGGATTGTGATTGTCCCTACTCTCGTGGTTGTCTTGTTGTGACGAGTACACGAGGTTATCCAGGTGTATGTTCCTTATGGTCGAAACTAGCACGTACAAGTGTTTGCTATTCAAGAAACAGGAATGGCGAAACAAATGCTCTATGATTGCGTGCAGAATTTTAAAATTAAGCATATTATACTTGTGCGAGAGGACGAGTGTGCACACTACTTGGTTGATTGTAAATGTGTTTAAATGAATTAGTATTTTATTTTGTGCTTCTTTTATCTTTATAAGGTTATACTCGTCTGCCCTGTTTTTCATCGTTTTCATGAGGACTTCAAAAGTGTATTTTTCATTCTCCCTTTGCGGAGGCAGAGAATAGGATATGTGGGTGGTCACTTTTTTTTTTCTCTCAACGATGCTGCCATTACTATGGAAGTACCTTCCATGACACCCGCCTTTATTAGCATTCAGGAGGGGATGTTTTTTCCCCTTCAAAAGTTTCACTACAGCAACACAGCTATTTTTCATTCGCATGTTGTGGCAGTGGGGCAAAATTTCGCCATGACAGAGATCAAAGCTACATGTTCATGACATGTAAGGGATGGTCAGTTTAACGAAAAAAAAAGAAAAAAAAACGGTGTGAATACAAATGATGTCACATCAGGAAGCGTGGACATATGAAGGTGGAGCATTCAGCTGTTCTACTCCGGTGTACTGTTCATTTTGATGCATTTACAAAATGATGATTGAAAGTAAAAAGGTGTGTCAAAATTTGTGCTTTTCAAAATAAATAAATAAATACAGCTACGATGTGGATGATTCAAAAGGTAAATCTTAATTAAAAAAAAAGAAAAAAAAAAAAATGACAGCGCCTTTGTACGGCTTCAAAACAGATGTTTTACAAACAATAATTATTTCTTAAAAAGGGACTTAAAAAAGGAGAACAAAAAAAAAAAAAAAAAAAAAAAAGAATAGATAGGGAAGGCATAACACAGGTGCATACGTGCACACATGTATTCATACACTCCTGTATACCTACTACTTATGCTTGCATAAGAGAGAGTTTTAAAAAAACTTGCAAAAGCCTTCCCTGACTTGATGCAGCTCGTTTAGTGTTTTTAGCCAAAATTTTATTAGCTGAAAAGGGGGGCAACAAAAAAAAAAAAAGAAAAAAGGAGGGTGAATCCATGTATACACGTCTGCAACAGTGGGCGGATGTACGATCTGAAAAGGTGTTCGTCTAGTAAGCACAAGCAGAAAAACGTACACACACGCGCCGAATTTATACAAGAAAAAAAAAAAAATATATGTGTGCGCTTATAGAATTGAGGAACCCGCTAATGTATAGCATAAACAGGTTCATGAATAATGGCGCATTGTTACATCGTATACATAAAATGAATGCAAAAAAGAGGGAGCAAAAATGTTACGGGAATATATTCAGCCTTTTACCTCATCATCCGAATGCGTCCTGGCCATGGTGTTTGTAGGTTTTAATAACAATAAATTTCCATATATGGACGAATTTTGATACAAAACAGTTCTTATGTTTTTGTAAATGCTTATTAATGTGCTTAGGTCTTTGTTTATTTCATCTGCAGGGGGAGAGCAAAAAAAAATAATAATAAATATAATTGTTTGTCTTTACGAATTGCTTAAATTTTCTCCTATTATGTGCAGGAACACACAAGGGTCCAACTTTGATAATGTAACATCATCAACCACATCAGCATCACTCAGGGTTGAAATGTTAGCACATGCATAGGGGCCACTAGTACACACAAAATTTCGCGCACTTAAGTACAGCGACCGCAATGGCGTAGTATTTCACGCAACAATCGCGTTATGCAAGAAATTACTTAAGTTGGAGATGGTGTCATAATTGTAAAAAAAGAAATTGTAAATATCAAAGTTTGTTATTTTTTTATTCGAAATATTATTAAAAGAAATGCGCAGAGTTTTGTTGTAGTTCCAATTGTATATACCCCATAAATAAAAATTTACAAATTGTGTGGTACATTTTATTACATTTTTTGTTTTTCCATACGTTTTATCATCCATGTTTTTCATTTTTGAAATATTGTTCAAACTAGACTTGGACATTTTGGGCTTCACGAATGTGTCACATAAAAGGTTACTTTTCATCTTGTGAGTTCTTTTTCTTCTTCTTTTCCTCTTCCTCCCCCTTTTAACTTCTGTCTTGACTTGTTCTATTAATTTTTTTTTTCGTCCTAGTTTTTTTTTTTTTTTCCTTTTCCCTTTCTTGGTTATCAAATTGTTCTTTATTTGTTTGAATCTTCTATCAATTTTTTTTTCAGTTTTTATTTCCGTTTTTATTTTTATTTTATTTTTTTTCCCCTTTTTTTTTCCCGTTTTCGTTTTCATTTTGGTTCTTCCTTTCCTTTTATTTATTTTTAAGTAGTAATAATTCGCATACGAGTACCCTATCAGGGGGGTTAAAATGAAGTCGCTCTCAGAATATTTTGTCTTTTTCACATTTTTACACTTTGGATTTAATACTTTTACAATTACGTTTTTGCATAATTTGTTCACATATATATGCATGACGTAAACGTACAGTAAAATGTTTATGTCCTCTTTGCAAAATTTGTACAATGTTTCAATTTTTTTAATTTTTTCATCGTCTCGGAATTTATTTATGTGGTCCGCACATTTGTTCTTACAGAAGTTTTTGTAGTAGTCCTGCGTGGTGCTATACATTTTGGACGTGTGATTTTTATTTGAGAGATCCATGTGTACTGTTAAATTGTAATTATTGTTTTCTTCCGGCTCTTTTTTCACAAGGTTGTTTGTGTTGCTCACCTTTCTGAGATGTGTGTTCGATGGGTTATCCACATGTTTTTCGTCACTAATTATGGTTCCGTTCATCTGTTCGTTTGAGAAACTCATAAGTGCTCCATACATCTGCTGTTTCACTTCACACGTAACTGGTTCGATCGTCTGTTGAATCTTTTCGTCGTACTTTGGGCTAGCCGTGAATTCGTTCCTGTCGCATAAATTATCGCAGTTTACTGATTCCTTTTTTTCGTAGGAATTTTGGCTAGTCCATGAATCATTCTGGTCTCTAGCATTATAATCATTAGTTGTTCCCTTGCGTTCATAGGAATTTTGGCTAATCGTGGATTCGTTCTGATAGCTTCTACTGTCGCCATTGAGTGAATCCGTTTTATCGCCCAGAATACCATTTTTGTAATGTGTACGTTTTGCGTCGCTATCATCTTCATTAAGTACTCCAAAATTTTCTTTTTTAAAAATTTCTTCTTCATTTGTAATGCCCGTTTTGTCCATTTTCTGATAAAAAGGTTCCACATTTTCTTGTATTTGTGTAGGGTTATCCTGTACAACTCCTTCTTCGATAACTGCAGTAGGGATGTTACCATCATTGTCATTCAAGTGTTCGATATGATCGAGTATTGTTGCTTCATGTTCATCTACATTTTTTTGTTGACACATGTCATGTATGTGTATGTCGTTTGCGCTTCCTTTACCCACAGAGGGGGGATCCAGAAGGTTGTGATAATCTACCTCTTTACCATTTGCAATTAATTTACTAATAAGTGTGTTATTTGTGTTTCTCATTTCATCATCTTCGTTTCGTCTTATTTCATTCATATTTGCACATCCTTGATTGGTATTTTCGTTGGGAGCTTTATCATCTCGATCTTCTTTTCTAAAATTTACGTCTTCCTTCTCCTCATTCACCTTGGCCATTACGTTTACATTTTGCTCGTTCTCATTCGTGTTCGTTATACTTGTTGTCACCTTATTATCGTCGTTGACGTAGTTATTTTCACGTGCAGTGTCGGCTTCAATCGTTTGGGTTTCAGTTCCCTTTTTACCCTCTTCATCATCCTGCTTCGTTTGTTGATTACTGTTCTGCGAAATTTTAAAAAAAAGTGCTAATTTGGTAAAGTACGACTTTGTTCTTTCGCTGTTTAGGTTGAAGATGTTACTTTTTGTGGATGAATTCTGCATCAAATTGGTTGTGTCATCACCATCAAGATCGGGTGTCCCTTCGAAAAGGGGGTTCGCTTCTGTTTCGTTGTTCTGCGCTTTGGTTTCATTTTCGTGGAGTATCACCTCTACCTTTTTTTGGCATGACTCCTCTTCCATTTCCTTTTTTATTTGGACTTCTTCCACCTTCCGCATACCCTTAGCTTTTTTCGCGTCTTCCCCATTGCTGTTCTCTTGAATTGGTACTACTTTTTTCTTTCTGCCCCTACTTTTTTTTTCAGTAACTTCTGGCTGCACTACCTGCTTTTTTTGCTTTTTAATTTTAAAGCCTCTACCAGCCTTATCATCTAGGCATTCTTCCCGTCGCTTTTTCCTTTTCTTAACTCTCCCTCGTGTTTTCTCCTTGGTAACACTAGCCTTTAACCGTTTGTCTACTCCACGTATTTTTCTCTTTCTCTTGCCTAGTTCCACTTGTAGTGTACGACTTTTGCGCCTTTTTCTCCTCTTTTTCGTTATGTCCCTCTTTGGGGCACGCACTCGAACTTTCAGGGGCGTATTATCTGTATCCGGCCCCTTTTGTAACAAGGTTTGGACCTCATTAGGTTTAGGGTTATACACACAGTCGTTAATTTTCCCCAAACTTTTGTACCTAGCGAAAGATATGCTTTCTATTTGTTTCTTTTTTGAGTTATCAACAATTTTGATGATTTCCAAAAGTTGAAAAATGTCTATATCGATGTTTAAGCAGGAGAAGTAGTAAGAATCGTTGAACCAGAAGCAGGAGGGGACTATTAAGAAATAGGAAAATATGTTATTTTTACCTTTGCAAATGCTTTTAATGCATCCCCTGTATGCACGCCCTTGTGGGGACTTAAACTTAGCCAATAGGTTTCCTTTCAATTCGTATTGATACGTTTCTCCTTCTATTACTTTTCTCTTCTTTTTGTAATTTTGGAGATTGATGTTGTCCTTTTTGTGTATTGTGCGGGTGCCTTCTCGGTCGTGGCTGTAAAGGAGGGAATCAGTCGGTTGCTTCTTGCCGTAGTGAATGAGATACTTCATCGCGTACTTGGGAGGGTGCTTCTTCCCAAAGTTAGGGGGCTCCTTGTGCCCCCAATCGACAGGGAACCTGTCGACATAGTTTACATTACTGGAGTTGTGCATATCATTCTGTTGGTCATGCACATGACCCCCCTGATGGGGTGTCTTTATGTCGTCATCATAGTCGCTTCCAACAGTGACGCTGCCGGAGCTTCCACTGTAGGAATCCCACAAATGTGTCATTTCACCCTGGGTGATTGAATTTGCTTCATCCAGATGGGCATCATCGTTGTTCGAGTGGAGCAATGTCCGTTTTCTGTCCTCTTCTATCTTCTTTCTGTGCCTTGAGAAGATTTCATTAAAGTCATCATTTGTTATGAGGACATTATTTTGCAATATAATTCTGACGTCTACTTTTTTAATATAATTTAGGACAAGATGATCTACATGGAGATCTCTTTCACTTTTATAAATTTTCATCAAATTATTTATCATAACATTTTGTAAATTTATATTGTTTGCATATACCTTCTTAACTTCTAATAATTTCACGGCGAGAACGAAGCTGATTTTATTTTGTATGTTTTTGCAGAAGAGAGATTTGATAAGTTCCCACTTGTTATGAGTAAATATTTTATAATGCTTGAAGGATTTTTTGTATTGTAAACTGTATTTATAATTTTCTAATGATTGGACAATATAGAATAATTTACTGACTCTTCTTTTTTCATCATTTTTACGCGTTATTCCATTGCTTATGCTGTTAGTATGTATAAGGGCAGTATCATCCAATGCGTGTTTTTTTTTTCTTCTACGTCTTTTTTTCATTTCGCACTTGAACTCAGGGTTGTTGGCGTTGTTGTTATTGCTTCCGGTTCTTGTAGTGGCCTGTATTTCGTTGTCTTCATTTTTTTCTTTCAAATCGGCATGTTTATAGTCCTGTTTTTCGTCCTTTTCGTAAGGCTTACAATTTATTTTTTCATTTGCGTTGGATGTGGAAGCTTGGTATGGGGTGCTGTCTACATATTCACTGGTTGAATTTGCGATGTAGCTTTGAACATACTTTTCATCATTTATATTGTTCAATATTTTGATGCAGTTGGCTAGGGTTACGTTATGATCGGATGGTAAAAGAATATCATTAATTTTGAGCTCTGTGTAAAAGTTAACTACTCTTCCAATTCCTATTTTATTCTTATCCTTGTGCTTGAAGAAGACTACGTCATTGTGTTCGAAGGTGATTAATTTATTGTTTTCTTTATGTTGAGTGTATTCATTTTGATCTTCATTTTGATCTTCATTTTCCTCTTCATTTTGATCTTCATTTTGGTCTTCATTTCTTTGAATGCTTTCCATTTAGTTAAAGGTAGTAAATATTCTTTCCTTTTTCACGAATAAAGCCAACACATTAGGAAGTGGCATACACGGGGGGATGGTGAAGCCGTTCTGATGGACTTACTGCAGATTCTCTAATTGTATTCATTTGATAGTTCTTATGTGTAGCAAGGGCTGAATACAATTGGGTGTTACATTTTAAAAAGAAGAAGAAGCAGGAGAAGAAGAAGGCGTGTATACGAAATGGGCGAAAACACGACGAGGGAATTCTTTTATGTTTAAACAGTATGACCGTTGGCAAATTAAAAACAAAAAGGTTAAAGCTGTTTATGGGTACCGCACAGCGGGCGGTGAATGGGTTACAGAATGGAAAGAGTAGGAACAGCGGAACAATGTGCGTTGTAAGCGATATGTACAAATGTATGTTTTTGTTTTTGTTTTTTTTACATACACTGTATACATATTGTTGTGTAAATATGCGCGATTTGACAGGGAGGGGGGAAAACAACAGGGGGGTGAATATGTATTAGGAGTACATAGTGCAATACTCGTTTTGTAAATTTTCAGACAAAAACAGAAAGAAAAGTTGACACGTGCATCTTGAAACGTGATTGTACTTTAGGGGTACCTGCTGCGGCCAAAATGATAAACTCGCATGGCGCGAAATGGAAGGTTACCCGGCAGTACACGCACATACACACGGGTATATGTACATATATATATATGTACATATGTGTATACACAAATTCGTAACTACTATGTTTTCACTTGCGTGTACGAATAAACGTGTGTACACGTTTACGCAGATCAGCGCACATACGCATATTCATATATGCAATTGCGTCATTAAGAGAGAAAGATGAAACGCATGATAAGCGTTATGCGTTTTTTTATTACTACACACACACAAAAAAAAAAAAAAAAAAAAAAAAAGTGGTTATTATGCCATTTTAGGCATTGTAAAATGTTGGCACAAATGCGGAAGGAGTGAATTACGCTAAAAGGGTTCACATTTTTTTTTTTTTTTTTTTTTGCAACATTTACGTATGACCGATGGGTTTCTTGCACTATCGCATTTTATAAAAACAAACTTGAGTGTACACAATGTGAAGACTTCTGTACATTTATGTCACGCATGACGTGAAGGCGTTCCTTGAAACAACGAATGAACAGAACGAAGAGAAATTCTTCTAGGTGTTGGTGGAGGTACGAAGCAAGATGCGACATGCACATGTGCACGTGCATGTACGGTAACGTCCATATGCACCAGTCGTTGCATCGTGGTAGGTAGCCAATTGGAGAAACACGAAACAACATAATTTGCAAAAACTAAAAAAACCAGGTTAAAATGGTAGGAAGAGTGGCACAGAATGGCCCCAAAGGAGGCAAAGCAGCATCATCAACAGAGGACAAAATAGGGCGGAAACGGCAACATAGCTAAAAGGCGCGGGGAATAGATAAGTATGCCATACGAAAAAAAAAAAAAAAAAAAAATTGGAAGCACCCCAGAAATGGTAAAAAAAACAAAAAAAAAAAAAAAGTTCCCGTTGAAAGAGAAAAAATAAAGCTGGTGTTTTAAAAATTTTGACTTTTCCCATTTCTCCAAAGCGTATTCAAAAAATCTCTGCGAAGCTGTTTGTGTACTTCAAAAAAGGCTACGAAAACGAAGTACAATTGAGAAAGAGCATAACCGCAATTTAAGTAGCAATTAGGAAAACAAAAAAAAAAAAAAAAAGAAAACCAAACGACGCAACGCGAACAGGGTTAACTTCCACAATCTATGGTACTTAAGCTGCATGGTTTATTCAACTCACTCTCGGTTTGGGGAATTAATTTTAATTTAGATAATTCGCCAGTTTGCTAATGAACTTTTATACGCTGTTTATTCTTTTCCCCTTTTTTAATTTTGCCCTTCTGCAAAAATGTATGCAACATGTATAGCTACTTGAGGAAAAATAGAAATTAAAGAAGCATAATCCAAAAAAGTTACGCGCGTCCGCATTTTTACGCATTTGCCGAAGAGAAATGTATTCCCGCGGCGCTCCCAAGGCATAAATAACAGAGAAAGAGAGAGGGAAAAAAAAAAGGCTTTAACTGAATGAGCATAGTCAATACATACTCAGGATGTATGCTCAACTGAACAGAAACAAAAAGAAGAAAAAAGATATCGACGATGAAAAGTTAAATGTAGGGACGGAGAGAAGTTGCATAAAAATATGCCCGCTAAAAAGACGCAATTGGCAAACGTGACACGGCACGAATACTACATATATGTGTGTACACTTGCGCATATATATGCACGCATATACCAGTATGAGTTCTCGCGTGTGTAGAGGATGACCCCGTTGCCCGTCTACGGAAGACGTCCTTACATTTCCAAGCCGCCAAGATTCACACACATTGCGACGTTGTTTTATGCAACGCTTCCCCCTTTTGCGCAGGAGCAAGAAGCTGCGAAAATTTACGCAGAGTTTGTCCGGTCGTTCGAGGGAAGCGCCTTGGAAAAGGGAAACAAATTCGTCAAAAGTAATGAAAAAAAAGAAAAAGAAATAGAAAAATAAAAAAGAAAACGTTAGTTCCATGTAATACAATTTAATTTACCCGAACTGAACTGTTGCACAACATGGGTGGTGGCGTAAGTACGTGTCCATATACAGACGCTTTTATGTGCTAACCTCTTTTTCTGGACAACCCATTTGAATAGGTGGAAAAGTGTTGAACCCCTCAAGCACTCTGTATGTGCCAGCTGAAGATGAAAGTAGGAAGAAGCCCAACAGCAAATTCAGCAGGGTAAAGACTGTGAAAACATTTGACGTCTGCATGAGCGTGGGAATTTATATATTCCACGGGTGTGAATTTTCAATCGAATCAAACCATTTGTGTGTGATAGCATAACATATGTTGCACGGGGCAGGTTGCCATACTATGCACATTTTACATTTCATGTGATATGCCCTTCCCCACTTATTGCAGGGGGATTACTCATATGAAGAAAAAAAGAAGGAAGAAAAAAGAGACAACAACAAAAATGACACGGGGAAAGTAAAGGAAATTGATAGTTTTTTAGAAGGTTACACATTTTATATAATTAAAAAAAGAAATATATTAGAGAAACATATTTGCTACATGTTTTACACTTTGTATTTTATTTTTTCGTATAAATAGTAACAATTTTTTTTTTTTTTATTTTTCTAAAAAATTTATGTATTTATTTGTTATTAAAGAAATTAAGTTAAAGCAGAAAATTTTGGATGAGAGGAAAGTTTTAAAAGAAAAAGCCGAGCTAGCGAAATCTGAAGAGGAGAAACTTAAAATTAAGAGGAAGCTAATAGAGATCGAAAAAAATGAAACGCTCTTTTCGTACGCCCCAAGAAAGGACAGAGTGGCCAACTTGTACCTGGGAAATTTATCTCCAGAGGTAGGAAAAGCGTGTATAGGAAGTTGTCTTGTGGATCGCCACTGTGTGCATTATGAGTGTGTCTACATGGGGAAGCATTCCCCCACTGCGCGATTGTCTACGGATAAGTGTGATGAAAAATAGTTGACATGAATTCGCAGGAATGGCGATATTATTTTTACATAATATGAAATCCATTAATTTGTGTCCTTATTTTGCCCATTTGTAGGTGACTGAGGAGTACCTGTGCCAACGCTTTGGAAAATTTGGAAAAGTGAACAGCGTCAAAATTATGTATCCACGAACAGATGAAGATAAAAAGAAGGCTAGAATTAGTGGATTCGTTTGTTTTGAAAATAGAGATGATGCAGAAAATGCAAGGGATGCCCTGGATGGTGTGGAAATGTTCGGAAATATTGTGAAGGTCGGTTGGAGTAAAGCCATACCAAAGAATTTAAACATGAACAAAAGTGAATATAATCAGTTTAACTATGAAAAAAGTAATTTGTATCATACTGGTTATAATAAAAAAATAGAGATTCTATTACCAGAGGATCGGAAGACCAAGAGAATAATTGATTTGTTAGCCAAGTATGTTACGGAGGAAGGATACACATTTGAAGAAGCTATAAAAAGGAATGAGAAGGATAATCCGGTGTTTACATTTCTCTTTAACACATCTGATTTGTTTTATTACTACAAGTGGAGAGTTTTTTCTTTCGCTCAAGGAGATAGTTACAAAAATTGGAGAGCGGATCCATTTCAGATGTTCGAGAATAGTTATGTGTATGTGCCACCGATACAAAAGAACGCCAAAAAGGTCGTGTCAAAGAAGGACAAAAGGTAATATTTTATCGAGGGAATTTCGCTGAGGGGTTTCAAAAGGGTGTTATAAAAAGTGTGCACGAAGGATAGGTGACGTTTTGGGGGGACTTAACTCTTTGATCTGTTACAAAGTCGAAATGGACAATGCAGCTAGCGCGTTTGAAACGTTTCATTTATCGGTATATTCCCTTTTTTTTTTTTTTTCAGCAGTAGAAACAAGAAGAACAAAATAGACGAGAAAAAGAAGGAAAAGCTAATTAACATTATAAACAACTTGAATAGGAAGAGGTAGGGGAAAGGACTTCTTATTCCCTTTCGTTTATCTTGCGAAATAGTATCGCTTCAGTTTATCTCTCATTCGCAAGTGTTTGTGTGTATATATATAGCCATGCATATCCGTTACATTGCCCGCTTCTGCTGCAGGGTGAGCATATGTCGCGCCATGATATTCTGCACACGGCACAGCGACTTCAGCGAGGACATTGTGAAAACCATGTCGAATTATTTGACCGATTTGAAGTACGACATGTTGAAAAAGGTACCATTGAGTGTTTGTAGAATTGTAAAAGAGGAGTTTTTTATTTCGTTCATTTGGAATTATCGTGGCATCGCATGCATATTAGGATGCACGTCATTCCTGCCATACATTTTCCTTGTACCCCACCCGAACCCTGTGCAGATAAACCTGGTCTATTTGCTGTCGGACATTCTGTACAACTGCAGCAACCAGTTTTACTCGTCCTGGTCCTATCGCAAGCACATCGAAGAAGAGCTACCTCGGATATTTTTCCATTTTCGAAAAAATATCAAAAAGTGCGATAGCAAAATAAAAGCAAAAATGTTCACAGATTCGATTATGAACATTTTTGACATGTGGGATGTTTGGGCAATTTATAGCTCCATCTTTATGAATGGTTTGAAATGCCTATTAACAAATAAGAAGTTAAGTTATGTAAAAAATGAAATTCACGAGTCGGACAGTGAGGCGGACTTGGATGGAACAAAAGTTGAATTTTTCGATGAAATAAAAAGGTATCCTTTAAATATGAGGAGAAATGCATATTTATATTTCCAAAAGGAGGAAACACATTTAAATCGATTATGTGAACAAAGGGGTTTGTATTTTGACGACAGTTTCAAAAGAAAAAAAAAAGTAAAATATTTAATACTGTATGATGAGTTTTGCAGTAATCTTAATAGTGCGCTGAATGAGATGGGAAATTTAAACGTTATGTTCCCCAGTGACGGCAAAAAGGTTCCTGCGTTTGTCAACGACACGAATGATGCTGCTTTCCATGTGCAGGAGAGGAGTTTCAATCATGTGTCTTGAAAGGGAACGTATGGACAGCACTGTTGGAACGGTTTATTTGTTTACATTACACAACTTATACAATGTGCATCATTTGCGTAGTAACAGTTTGTAGGCACACACGAAGGTGTTACAGCACATGTTTTTGGCATTTTTTTTTTTTTTTTTTTTTTT